ATAGAAAATGGGCCCATCATGTCCGTGCTTCTTTCGCTCCTGACTCTTGGGGCGCGCCCCCACCCGGACCGAACTCTCCCGGCGAGACCTCTGGCGCTCCAGGTTCCTTGTAGGCGTGGTCCCAGGCCTGGGCCACTGCCCCAAAAAGCTGCTTCTCGTCCCGAGTCGTCTTTGGATGGCCCCGGGGCCCGCTGAGGGCCCCGGGGAGGCCGAAAACGGCCAAAAACCTGGCGCTCCAATTGTTTCGGAGCCTCGGATCGCCGGGTCCTTTCCCTCCCCCCATCCCATGTCCCCCAACCCTCCTTTTCCTCGTCCTCCTGCACGTCCTCTCTCCTCCTCCTCACCCCTCCTCCTCCACCTCCTCCCCTCCTCCTCCTCCTCCTCCTCCTCCCCTCCCCTCCCCTCCGTGCCCCTCCCCCTTCCCACCCCCATCCATAGAAGAAGAAACCCCTGAGCACACACACAAGCATGAGGGGGCTGCGCTGGGGGCTCCCGCAGGGGGCGTCCCAGCGCAGATCCCAGAACTCCGCCCGAACTGTGATGGCCAAGACGGAGCCAGGACGATACTGAATCCGGGTGACTCCTCCTCCTCCTCCTCCTCCTCCTCCTCCTCCTCCTCCTCCTCCTCCTCCCACTCCTAGCCCTTTCGATCAGGGTCGGCGGCACCGGCCGTCAGGCCTCTCCAATAAATCCGGGTGAGGATGAATCGAGAATCTCTGAGATCCGGCGGCTCTGGAAGATGTATCGGGCGCCGCGGCCTTCTCAGAGCGTCCCAGAGCGCCCTGAGAGCCTTCTAGAACGGTCTGGAACCAATGTATCTCGGGGATCTTCTGAAAACCTGGGTCAACGCGAAAGATCCTGCAACATCTTGCAAAATCCTGCACCCAAACCCGGGTCAATGCGACCCTGGCCCTGCAGGATCCTGCAAGATCGGGCGCTCTGGCTGAGCCCCGTTTGCATTGACCCCTCTCAAGGCTCCCGAGTATCCTCGTCCTAGCCTCGTCCGGCTTACGCAGCTAATTTTCCAGATCCACCATCCCATTGCCATTTCCCCTCGATCTCCCTCAGAGCGTTCCGGAACGCCCTGAGAGCTCTCTAGAAAGGCTGGAACGGGTGTATCCTCGTCCTAGCCTCGTCCGGCTTGCGCAGCTAGTTTTCCAGATCCAGCATCCAATCGCCATTTCCCTTCGATCTCCCTCCCAATCTGTATCCCCTCATCCTCCGCTCCCTCTCTGTTCTTAACCCTTAGGCTGGGCATGTTCCCCTACAGGCGGCTTTTGGACGAAAGAGTAAAAGTACACAAAACATGCCCAAACAAAATAATAGAAAAGTCGCCCCATGACTATTTATGAATATTCCTCCTGTAGAGCGACACGTCTGATTCAATCCTACGAGGGTAAGGCCGCCCAGATCTGTTGTTGTTCCGCCGCCCTTGGTCAGGGGCTTCAGGACTTGTTTTGCTCCGGGCTCCCCTGGAAAATTCGCTGGATTCACATGGATCGATTTGGATGTGCCTCGATTCACCTGGATTGAATCAGGTTTGCCCGGATTCGTCTCGAATCCTGTGGCTAGATTTAGGTCGGGCATGTCCCCCTACAGGCGAACTCTAAACGAAAATTTAAAAAATTCCAACAATGTCAACAACAAATCAAACAAATAGTCGGCGCATCGTTCCCCGACTATTTTTTGACTGTGTTTGAATATTCCTCCTGTAGAGGGACATCCCCGACTTAAGGCTAGATCCCCGCAGGTCGAGCGGCGAAACGACGTCAAGCCTCGAGGGCCCCTCTCTGCCGCCCGAAGGCCCCGGGCCGAGGTCGCGGCCGTCTTCCCCTCCCTGAGGCCCACGAAGACGAACTGCTGGAGGGGGTCGGGCAGTTTGACCTCGCCCTTGGCCTTCTTCTTCTTGGCCTTCTTGACCTCGCGCCCCGCCCAAAGGGAGGGGCCATAAACCCCTCAGATAGGGGACGAGGAGGCTCACAGCCTCGATCCTGGGACCGCGACCCTCCGCCTCCTCCACGTCCTCCTCCTCCTCCTCCTCCTCCTCCGCAGCAGCAGCAGCGGCAGCGGCAGCATCATCACCATCAGCATGAGCATGAGCATCATCATCATCATCATCATCATCATCAGCATCAGCATCAGCATCATCATCATCATCATCATCATCATCATCATCCTCATCCTCATCCTCATCCTCATCATCCTCATCCTCATCATCATCATCATCATCATCATCATCATCACCACCATCATCATCATCATCATCATCATCATCATCATCATCATCATTACCATTATTGGCAGCATCAGCATCTTCATCACCCGCATCATCATCAGCATGCGCATCATCGGCATCATCATCATCATCATCAGCATCATCATCATCATCATCATCATCATCATCATCATCATCATCATCATCATCATCATCATCATCATCATCATCATCATCATCATCATCATTATCGTCATCATCATCAGCAGCAACAGCCTCATCAGCAGAATCGGCAGCAACAGCAGAAGCGTAAGCATCGTAATCACCATCATCAGAAAAAACCTCATCGTCATGATCACCATCAGCATCAGCAGCATAATCAATATAATCGTCGTGATCATCGGCACCATCAACACCGTGATCATCAACAACAACAGCATCAGTATAGGCATGATCATCCGCACCATCGTCATCATCGTCATCATCAGCAGCATCAGTATCATCACCATCATCACCATCATCATCATCAGCATCAGTATCATCATCAGTGTCAGCGTCACCATAATTATCATCATCAGCATCAGCATCGTTATCAACATCATCGTACTCATCAGCATCAGCATCAGCATAAACTGCATTACCAACACCATCATCATCAGCAGCATCAGTGTCACAATCATCATCCTCATCCGCATCATCGTCACCATGAATAATCAGCATCGTCGCCATCATTATCAGCATCGGCACCAGCATCAGCAGCATCATCATCATCCTCAGCACCATCATCATCCTCATAATCATCGTCATCATCATCAGCAGCTTTATCCACATCATCATCATCATCATCATCATCATCATCATCATCATCATCATCAGCAACAGCAGCAGCATCATCATTATGGTCATCATCCTCATCCTCGTCCTCCTCCTTCTCCCCAGCGGCGGGAGAGGAGAAAGAGGAGAGAAAGGAGGGAAGAGGACTATGACGCCACGAAGCGTGTGAGGGGCGCAGCCAACTGGCACCCCCGCGGAGAGGGCGGGAAGGAAAAGGAAGAGGAGCAGGGGGGGAGATGGGAGAACTGCGAGGCCACGACGCGTGCAAGCGGCGTGTCGCATCGGGGGCACGCGGAGGAGGAGAGAGGAGGAGGAGGAGGAGGAGGAGGAGGAGGAGGAGAAGGAGGAGAAGGAGGAGGAGGAGGAGGAGAAGGAGGCGGAGGAGGCGGAGGAGGAGGAGGAGGAGGGAGAGGAGGGGTAGGGTAGGATGAGGGGGGGTTGAGAGGAGGAGAGGGGAGGAGGCGGAGGAGGAGGAGGAGGAGGAGGAGGAGGAGGAGGAGAGGCGAAGGAGGAGGAGGAGGAGGAGGAGGGAGGAGGAGCAGGCGGAGGAGGAGGAGGAGCAGGAGGAGGAGGAGGGGAGCGAAAGGAAGAGGAGGAGGAGGGGGAGGAGGAGGGAAGGCGGGGCGCGGCGCTGCAGAACAGGATAGTTGGGAAAAACTTCACAAGTATAAACCTTTCGAAGGTCCGCGTGGATTGCCTGGATCGGCGCTGGACCCCCTCCCTGGGGGCGGCGCCGGAGGCGCCCGCAGCGGGGTGGAGGATCAAACGCAGATTCAAGAAATCCGCGCGGACCCCCGAAAGTTCTTCTTTACGAAGATTATTATTCGAGCGAAGCCCGCTGCTCCCACGCGCACACACCAGCAAACAATCTGATGACGCCAGTCGTTCGAACTTCGCTGGATGCGGAGGCAAAGGATGAAGAGGAGGAGGAGGATGAGGTGGACAGGACGCTATGCGACGATCCCCTGCGGCCCAAACGGCGACAGCTATCATGTGAGAACGCAGCGGCAAGCCAGGGACCACAAGGCAATGTTTGTTACCAACTCCGTTTTGCCATTTTTCTGCTGCTTCTGGCGCCATTTTTGTTGTCCCGTTCCGTCGCCGTCTTTTTCGATTCCCGCTTTTGCGGGTGCTGGTTCCGGCTCCGATTCTGGGGCCGCATGTTTGCCGCGTCTGGCTGCCACATTTTCTCACCGTTCCCGCGTTCAGAACACACTCTTTCGGAAACGGTGGAAAAACGGCCATGCCGTTTCGAGGGCCCACTCGGGCGAGGAGGGGGGAAAGGGTTGTGGATGCCACGACAATGGACACGCTAACAATCCCATCATCGAATCAAACATGTGTTTAAAATGTCGGAAAAGTGTCCTGGAAATGTTTAAAATATGTTGTTTTAATGTTTGAAGCAGGTTTAACACATGATTTAAACACCTGGAAATTATGTGGCAACATGCTTGCTCTCCATTGATCGTCCTCCACAAGGGAGAGGGAGGAAGCGTGAACGACAGACGGCAGCGAACCGAGGCGAGCACTGCGACAGAAGAGAAGGTCCCCTCGCGCGCAGGGAGGGGCCGGCGGGAGCCCGAGGGGCATCCTGGAGGGCCGCCCGCTGGCTGAAGGACGCTACGCAATCGTAAAAGTAGCCCTACAATGAGCCCCAAGAGGCCCCCAAGAGGCCCAAAGAGGCCCCCAAACACGCCTCGAAACGATTCAAAACTGCCTCCAAGAGGCTCCACCAGGTCTCCAAACAACTCGCAAGACGCCCACGAGAGTCCCCAGAGAGTGCCGAAGAAGCCCACGACGCCTCAACCGTGGACTCCCCGCCTTCTGGGAGTCGGCGGAATGCCGCAAGCCTCTCGATTAGCCCAAGCCTTAGGGTAGGGACCTGAGTCAGGAGGGCCAAAGACACTAGGGATAGGGGCCAAACGAAACCATCCATGTGCTTAGGCATGTGCCCAAAAACCACGGGCCCAAGTTGGGTCACGACTTGATTGTGATATCAGGGCTATGGATTCCATGATGCTGAATGCAAGGCGGGGCGGAAGATGGCCTCCACCGGCTCGTCCACGGGCTTGCTCAGCACGTCAGTGCCGCTCATGTAGACGCTCGTGACGTACCTTCGGCGGTGCTCCCCGAGACCGGGGCAAACGGCATGGGGGGTACCAGCTCCGGGGGAGGCTGCGTCGAGCTTGAATCGGCGATACATCGCTGATCGACCGGGCGATGCGCTCGCCGAGGCGTGGGCCAACACGTGCCGAACCAGCAGCGTGTCAACACGGACGTGTTGAGCACGGCACGTGTTGTGTTCCAGCGTGGGCGTGTCAGGGCAGCGAAGAAGTTATGTGGCGACATCCGCACCCTATCCCCACCAACCATCGACTCTCCCGGAATCGATGGGAGGCGTTTTCGACGTTGAGCGAACGGAGAGGGAAGGGGGGTTCTGGCTCCCGACCTCTGCTCAATGTGACTGTGGAATCCTATGGGGAAGCGGGGCCCCCGTGCTTACTCCACCTGCTTCGAACTGGCGCCCAAGACAGCCAGGATCTACTCCATTGTGGGGTGGGGGGCCGCGCCGATCGGCAGAACTACGAACAAGAGAACGATCACATATCGCAGCGTGCTCGACGAACTCCGAACCCTATCCCCGCCGCCCATCGAGCTGCCTGGCTCGCGATCGGCGAGGGTCGGGTTTGGATTTCGCCGCCGCTCTTGCGCGTGGCCGACCACCCCCCCACGCGGGTCCGCGCGAGCTCCCCCCTCCCTGGCGGCGCGCACAACCGGGGGGGCAGGGAGAGGGAGGGAAGGCTTCTTAGAATGAGGCTGCTTATTTCGGGGACGCGCAAGCATGGATTAGCGATCCATGGATGTGGCGCGCGGTCGCCAAATTTATGGATCGGGGGAGGCGCCCTCCCCAAAATGCGGCCGGTGCCGCCTCGTGCGGCGGCGGAAATGCGTGATTTCCTATGGAAACGCGACCCGTCGCGAATCCTTGCTCCCTTGATCCATGTGTGCGATCGCCTGAGTATCAGCAGGCGCCAGACTTGCATCTGTAGGCAAGGCCCGCACCTTTTTCAGAAGCAGGGGTGCTCCTCTCAGAAGCCTCCCCCCTCCCCCTGCACCGCTCTCTGCGGGTGGCCGAAGATCCCCCGGCCCGCTTTCAGCTCACCGCTCCAGCCACCTCTCAGCTCGCGGGACGGGCCTCCCTCCAGCAGGAACAGCCGCGCCCGAGCGCAGGGCAGCACGCTGGCGACTTCCGCGGCAGCACGCCGACGACTCCCAGCCTCCACCAAGGATGCTGCGGCAGCACGCTAGCGACTTTTACGGCGGCTTCCGACGTGTGACCGAAGGGGGGGGAGAGGGGGGTCTCGGTCTGGGCCGGCGGTGGGTCGACCTGCTAGCACTGCGGATGCCACGACAATGGACACCCTAATAGTCCTGCCATCGAATCGGAAAAATGTCCTGGAAATGTTTTAAACATGTCTTCTACATGTTTAAAACATTGTTACCACATGTTTTTAGACATCTGGAAATTGTCTGGCAACATGCTTCCTCTCCATTGATCGTCCTCCACAATGCTAGCACTCTGGGGGGTGGGGGGGGGGCGGACCAGTCGCCAAAAGCAGTTGCCTAAATCTGCCTAGACCTGGTCCATGGGGGGGGAAGGGGAGGGGGATGTGGACCCGCGCCGATCGGCGAAACAGTACATAGAAACACAGCTACCACGTCGAAGGCTTCCGCGTCCGCTTCACTGAACGCTCCTCCGAGCCCCTCATCCCATCTGCTGCCTCGTTGGCGTCATTCAGTTCCCGCGGCCGCCCCAACTCCCCATCATCTTCCTCGTCCGCCTCCCCTCACCCACCCTCCGCCGCACTCACCTTATCCCCCTTCCCTCCTCTCTAAGACAAGCGAAGACGGCGTAAACATGGATTTGCAGAGGTCCGCGCGGATTTCTCGGATCAGCAGCGTTGGACTTCACAAGAGCGAGGAGCAGCGCGCCAGGGGCGGCGCCCGAGGCGCCGCCAGGGGGGCCCAGCGCCGACCCAAGGAACACGCACAGACATTCGAAAGTTTATGCTTACGCCGTCCTTCGACGATTCATCCCCGTCCCCCCCCGTCCCCCCCCCCGTCCTCGAGCTCACTCTCGGGCGCAGGCGAGGCAGGCGTGCAGAGGGGGGCTGCGCGACGGGCATCGCGAGCGCGCACGGGAGCACCCCTGCCGCCCAAGACTTCCGGCGCTCCGTCTTCTTCGACGCGTGAACCCGCAAAGGTCTGGGCAGCGACCGCATTCACGCTCCCGGGGCCTGCTGAGGGCCCGGGGAGGCCGAACAAGAAATACCCCAACACCGGCCGCTCCAACTTTTTCTGAGCCCCGGATCTGTGGGCCAGCATAGTCCTGCTCTCGCCATCGCTCGGACGTCCGTTCCCGGCACATGTTCCGGCTTCGCCTATGTAGTTTTCGCACGATGGTCGAGGATGCTCCTGAATGGTCCTCGCCGAAAAAAACGAAATGCACACGCCCGAGCGATGCCAACTGTTGAGGGGGTGCGTGCGCGCCCTTCCCTGGAGGGAGGAGGAGGAGGAGGAGGAGGAGGAGGAGGAGGAGGAGGAGGAGCTGCCAGCGCGCTCGCTCTCGCTCTCTCTCTCTCTCTCTCTCTGGCCCCGCTCCGTGCCACGCTCGCTCCCGGTGGCCGTGGAGCGAGCGATAGGGCTGACCACGGCCGTATATACAGGTCTCCTAGACTCAAGGAGCCCCAGGACACACAAATAAATAAACACAAAATATTTTCTGGATTTTTGTCTTCCCGCCCAATTCCCATATTTTCCTATATTTTCTGGGGGATCGACGATTAATTGTGTCTGTGTGTTTTTTCTCCTCCTGATAGACTGGGTCCGAGGTGGGGTCGGAGGATCTCGCCGCATCGCCGACACATCGGCGATGCATCGCCGATGCATCGGCCATGCACTGGAGACGTCGGCGATGCATCGGCGACGTCCGCGTGAAGAAAGGCAGGCTCCGCATCGAGCCGCATCGGCGATGCATCGGCGATGCGGCTCGACCCTCCGACCCCATTTACTCGGACTCACTCTAGGAGGCCTAGGGCATAGCTGTGCCCTCGCGGTTTGGACTCCGGGCCCCGATCCCGTAGACGCGTGGTCGCAGGGGCACGTCCGCGCGGGGGCACCCGCGGACACGGCGCCCAATATGTAATTAATTGCAGGGCCGCGGCCCCGCCGGGGGGCCGGCCTGCGAGGCCGCAGAGGCGGACATATGGCTCATATGTGGCGGATTTCGGAAACCCTGAGCCCAAAAACGTTTTCATCTCTTGGGGGCGCTTCCGCCAGCCTTCCGCTGGCTTCCGCCGGCGGAGGCGACCTCGTTTTACTTCCGCCGACCGTCCGCCGCCGTCCGCCGCGGAAGAGATGACCACTCCTTCGATCCTCGAAGGCAAGGCCCTTTCTGGAGCGCCCCACATGGTTTGTGTATGTGCTTCGCACACGAAGAGCGGCCCCAGACATGCGACGTCCTAGCCCCCAGAGGCCGCGAACGACAGTTCTCCACGGCGCGAGCACGTCTGGGGCGAAGCCTCTCGCGAGGGGGCGGCCCTGGACGGTCTCCCCCGGGACCGTAGGCGACCCGAGGAGGAGGAGGAGGAGGAGGAGGAGGAGGAGGAGGAGGAGGAGGAGGAGGAGGAGGAGGGGAGGAGGAGAGGAGGAGGAGGAGGAGGAGGAGGAAGAGGAGGAGGGGGGAGGGAGGAGGAGGAGGACGGGTCGCCAAAGCCCTTCGGAGAAACCCTCCAGGCGGCGGCCCCATCGGCAGGCCCGACGGCCACATGCCAGGAGCCTGTTTTTCTTTAGATCCAGGCAAGCTTACTTGCATGGCGTTCGCCCCCCCCCCCTCTCTCCCCCCCCTCGCCCCTCTTCAATCGAACACGAGCGTGCAAGTGCCTTTCGACTTGCGTGATTTCCGCACGTCGAATTGTTCTCGGCCTGCTTCAGACTCAGCCCCCCCCCCCGTGCATGCAAGTAAGGTCCCGGCCACATGCCAGGCATGCGCTCCTCCCGGCGAGCGCCGGCAGGGGCAGCGCGAGGCCCGACGGCGCGTCCTGCGCTGCGCTGGCGCAGCGGCCGCCCCTGCGGGAGGCCCTCGGCTTGGGACGCCGGCGAGGGCTCGGAATTGGCCGGCGCTGTCACGCGCGACGAACACAGAGCCTGTTGTTCTCTAGATCCAGGGAGGCTTACTCGCAGGGCGTTCGCTCCCCCCCAAATTTGCCAAACCCTCCTCGCCCCTCTTCGATCGAGCACGAGCGTGCAAGTGTACTTCGCCTTGCGTGATTTCCGCACGCCAAGCTGTTTTCGGCTTGCTTCAGGCTCAGGCCCCCCCCCCCAGCCCAGGCCGGCGCTGTCACGAGCGGCGAACACATCCGCACGGCAGGTTAGTGTCGTGCCGACGCGTGCGTTGGTTTTTGACACCGAGGGGATCGTTCAACCTTGAACGACAGGCCGTTTCCGAAACGTCAGATCGTTCAACATCGACCGATTCTGGGTCGCCAGCGGCATTCAACGTGGAACGCCGGCGGGGGGGCCGCCGCTGGTCGACACGACACGAACCTGCCGTATCCGCGCCCTCGCGGTCTGGATTTTGGTGCGCGATCCCACGGACACGCGGTCGCACGGGTACGCTCCGCGCAGGGGGGCCTCCGCGCAGAATGCGCCCGGTCTCCGCGGGGGGCGTGGCCCAGCAGCCGGGCCCGCGAGGCCGCGGATGCGAATATCATCTGTCGCCCGCGATGGGGATCCGAGGCTCTGACACCATTGGGGCGGCCAGATTTGGGCTAATTGCGGCCTCTGGAGGGGCCTCCAGGGGCTCCGGGGGACCGTCAACAAACGGAATAATCTTGCGCCCGCGAGGAGGATCCGAAGCTCCGACACCATTGGGGCGGCCAGTTCTGGGCTAGTTTTAGGTCGGGCATGCCCTCCAACAGGCGGATTTTGGACGACAAGTGAAAAGTAGTCTCAGATCACTCCAAAATGAATGATCAATGATAGTCAAGAAAGTGTCCCCAGACTATTTTTTGGCTATTTTGATATTTTCCCCCTGTAGAGGGACGTGCCCAACTGAAGGCTAGCTTCGGCCTCTGGGGGGCCTCAAAGGGCACGTGGGACGGGCAACAAACGGCTGACGACGGAAAACCGGCCCTAGGAAAGTGTCCAGACCTCGCGGGGTTCACGCGTCAAAATAACTGGAGCGCCGGATGTCTGGGCTCGGAAGACAATGAGCTCATTCAAGGTTGGCCAACCCCCTGCTGCTCGCATCAGACCGTGCCTGCGAGCTCTCTGAGCATCGTGTGACCGATCCCTGTCCCCCCTGGCGTGGCCTGGGCCCCACTGGCCGATGTGCACCCCCAGATGGGGATATGGCTGCTCTCGTCGGGTTTCGAGGGGCCTATCCCAAACTGGGGTGGTCGGATGGTAGGGCTGAATTACCAAGGCCCACTGGGGCTGGGGGTCGGAAAAACGATGCTGGGTACCGGGGGCCCGCAGGATGGCCAAGCGCTCCGTGAAAGGGGCCCCGAAAGGAGAGGCAAGCCCCAGCCTCCAACGAGTGGTTCCTGCGATTTCGGAAGAATCTCGCTGGTTCATGGAGGTTTTCAGGCGTCGGGATCGGGATACGTACAACGGTGGAACGGTACTGTCTCTTTCAAGGAGAGCCCAGAAGTCGAATCGCTGGTCCAAGTGCATCGGATCGGCGGGAAGTGGCAGCCGAGTCGGGAGAAGTCGAATCGGCGGAGATCCGCAGGCGAGCAAGCCTCCGTTGAGTTACCGGAATCCACATCGGGCTCGGGAGCCGAACCGGAGCGGAATCGGAGGCCATCGAAATCGAATCGAATCGAATCGGAGGAATCGAATCGGCTCGAGATCGACCCGAAATCGAATCGACTCGAAAGCGAAACCGAGCGAGAGAATCGAAGAGGAGCCCCGGCCCTCCCCGCGCCCCCGCGAGAGGAAGGACGCCTGTACTCGCCGTGCTCGTCCAGCTGGGAGATGGGCACCTGTCGGGGCGCGCCCCGCGCGGGGTGGGGGCCGCAGCACCAGGTAGAGGGGAGGAGCGCGACTGCGTCGGGCGAGGGGGGGCGTCGGCAGAGGAAGGCCCTTCCCCTGCCGGCGCGCGCCACGGAAGAGCGATCGCGTCGGGCAGGGCCGCAGCTCCGGCAGGGGGAGCGCGATCGCGTCGGGCGAGGGGAAAGCACGAGTGCTTCGCCAGCCTTTCCCGGAAGGGCTGGCGAAGACTTCGTGGCCTCGTCCTCGCCCTGCGCCGCCCCCTCCCGCTGCTGCTGCTGCTGCTGCTGCTGCTGCTGCTGCAACTTCTCTTTTGACGTTGGGCGAGATCGAGCCGCGGTGGTGTAGCGCTCTTGCTGCTGCTGCTGCTCCTCCTCCTTCTCCTCATCCTCCTTCTCCTCCTCCTACTCCCTCCTCATATTCATCTTCCTCCTCCTCCTCCATGTCCTCCTCTTCTCCTATTTACGTCCCCATCCTCCTTCTCCTCCTCCTCCTCCTCCTCCTCCTCCTCCTCCTCCCTCTCCTCCTCCTCATCCTCCTCTCCTCCTCCTCCTCCTCCTCCCCTCCTCCTCACCTCCTTCTTTTCCTCCTCCTCCTCCTCCTCCTCCTCCTCCTCCTCCTCCTCCTCCTCATCATCATCTCCCGCCCATGCATCTCGCTCCTCCCATTCCTCCTTTCCCCGTTCCTCCTCTCGGGTCTGACAGAAGGAAGGGGAGGGGGAGGTTACAAAGGGAGGTTTCGAATAAGGAATCGAATACAGAATTGAATTACCCCTGAACTAAGGAGGTGTTGTCGATTATACGAGAAGTACGTCGAATGTCTCGCATACCGCTAAGTAATTGAAATATCATCAACGGACAAGTCAACTCTGGGGCACATCAATTCGGTTGGCCATCCCCCACTCGAAGGATAAGCGACTCGGCCCACGCATAGCTGGTTTTCGGTCGGACAGGTCCTCCTACTGGCGGACTGTGGAAGAACAATCCCCGATAGTCACTCAAACATGGCCGACAAATCTTAGGAAACCCCTCCCCAAACCATTTGTGTCCCCCTATTCCTCCTGTGGAGGGACAAGCCCGATTGTTGGCGGCGCGCACAAAAGGGCAGGGGGAGGGGGGAAGGCTTCTTAGAAGAAGGCCGTTTCTTAGAAGGCGCCCGCCGTACATCTACAGACAAGGCCGCCGCCTTCTAAGAAGCAGGGGTTCTTCTAAGAAGCCCTCCCCCTCCCCCTACCCCCCTCTGCGCGTGGCCGATCTCTTCCTCCCCAAAAGGAGGAACAACACGCAAACAACGACGACGATGATGACTACAACGGGTCGTCGTCGTCGTCGTCGTCGTCGTCGTCGTCGTCGTCGCCGTCGTCGTCGGAGCAGGCTGGCGGCACCTCCAGCGCCATCCCTCGCCCCTACCCCCCTCTGCGCGTGGCCGAGACTTAAAGCTGGCTTCCCCGGCGCCTCCCAGCGCCAGGGCATCGCGGAGAGAGCGGAGACGGCGCGCGGGGCCGAGACCAACCGCACGCCGCAGGCTGCGCGTACGCCCACCCCCCCTCCCCATGCCCCCAGTGCGTCCGACTCCAGAGGAGGAGGAGGAGGAGGAGGAGGAGGAGGAGGAGGAAGAGGAGGAGGAGGAGGAGGAGGAGGAGGAGGGAGGAGGAGGATGAGGAGGAGGAGGGGAGCAAAGGAAGCAGGAGGCACACCCCTGGGAGAGTCCCGATCCCTACCCACTGGGCCCAGTGGCTAAGGCCCGCACCTGTCGAGAGCGACGTGCGCTAGCACGAAGCCGAGCAAGAATGGCGCCGCGGGCGAAAGACGACGAGGGGCGACGGGTGCGACACACACACACACAAAATGCAAAATGAATACAATCTAGAGCAAAAGCATGAGACATGAGACTCTCAGACGTGCGTGCCTGCCAGAGGTGGGGGAAAGCTACCTGCAACCAATCATTGCCCCAGCTCACGGGTAGATAACGAAGGAGAGAACGTGCATACTCAACTATCACAGGGCACCGTACATAGTGGTCAAGACAGTCAGCGCCGAGATTCATACACCCAAAGACACAAGGACCAACTTTTTGTCGATAGCGCCGTGTAGTGTTCCACGCATTGCAGACCGTTTTCAATACCGATGCGTGGACAAAGGGCGGTAGCTTGTCATCTATACACCCCAGACGAATAACGCACAGATCGATGTCATTCCTGGAGGCCTCAGGGTGCATCTTCAAGATCCTCGGGGCCAGAACTTCACTAACAGTAACGTCCACCATATACGTTTTAGGTCCAGGGTAACTTTCTTCTGAGTGGTTTTCCCGTGGGAGATATCAACAGGTCCGAACTTGGCCTTATACTCCTCAAGCGTTCTATACATCTGGAAAAAGATGGAGTCGGAGAACGCTCGGGACCACTTGTAGGTTAAACAATAGTCGTCGTCATCAACTTTGGTGTTCCAGTCACCCACCAGTTTGTGGAACATGTCAGGATGAGAAGCAGCACGTGACACAGCAGCTTTGGCCGAGATCGCTAACGAGTGGCACTCAGTCTTCATACCAAGACGGGCAGCCTGCATGAGGACCTTGGGGGGGGGGGGGGGGGGGGGGGGGGGGATACTGTGCCTGGGAGCCCACGTTAGTAGTGCTGCGCTTCTCGCTCTTGACTTAAGGCTTCACTCGTGACAATATGGAACTGGGCTACGCGAGAGCAAACTGACCCAGCGAATATGGTGCACGCAGAACAGGCAGCCGTGAGACCAGTGCCCAGTGCTTTTACCTCGGCACCCCGCGTACGAAGCTTTTTGTCCTACACGGGACCACGCAGTCTTCGGTGCATGCAAGCCCACCTCCACCCCAAGGTACATCCCAGATTGATTAATCTTCCACCCCGATATATCAAGACCAGCTTGCAAGCACTGCGTGATGATCTGCTGCGGGTCAGAAGGCCGCGGAATCACGATGACGCACTTCGGCATGTTGAGTGCGAGGCCAGAGCACGGTGTTGCGGCCGCGAATATTGCCACAACACGAGGGAGCGCACTGACTAGACCAGCAGCTGCAACGGCAAGGTCATCGGCAAATGCAGTAGGATAGACCGATAGCGAAGCCCCTAATTCAGCAATGCCACGAAGCATGGGGTCGAAGGCGGCCGCGAATAACAGTCCACTAAGAGGACCACCTTGTTTAACTCCCCGAGGGGCCCAAAAGCCTCCAACGTCTGAACCCCGAATCGACATGCTACACCAAACCCGCTCGTAGAGAGACCTAATACAGTTAATGAGGAACGGCGGGGAGCGCCAGCGCTGCAGTACTAGAAAGAGCCAGAAGTAGTGCACCGATGGGAAAGCACTCTTCATTTCGAAGAGGGCGCCTCCATCAGCCTGCGAATTATCCAATGCTTGTCGCATCATCAAACGACCGTCGAACTCGAATATATTGTCAGCGAGAGAGCGACCCGAAATAAAACCACGTTGTGCATAGCGTAGTTTATCGCTGGTAACTTGCATTAGAGGATATGCGATGCAGGAGGAGACAATCTTATTGTCAGTGTTGCTCAATGCAAGCGGTCGCGTGTCTCCACGCGCCTTGGCCACGGCTCCAGGAACGCTCGCGCCTTTCGGTGAGAATGCCAATTTCGAATCGTTGAAATCGCTTGCGAGGACTTGGGTGTTCATGAAGGCGAGATAGTGCTCCCAGAGGGCCTGCTTGATAATCGGGCGCGGGCACTGCCAAGCACTGTATGGAATGCCGTCGGGTCCTGGACTGGAGTCGACCTTGCTTTTGAGGAGGTCGAAAAACTGATCCTCGGTCAGGACCCAGGGGGACCTCTGGTGGGTGGAGTTGGTGAACTGGTAGGGGTCGTCGGGGAGGGTCGGGATGAGGTCCAGAAACCTGGATGCCCCCTGGAGATCACACGGGGCCCGAGAGAAAACCTTTCCCAAATGCTCAGACAGCTTCTGACCCATGGCAGAATCCTTGCTAAGCTCAGACCCGTCGTCGTCAAAAAACAGCGGCGAGGTGGATCTTCGGCTTATTCTTAGCCCAAACACGAGAAAGTCTGCGAATACGTGCAATATGCTGGTCGTTCTTAGATGGCGCTAATTCACGAGCAGCGACTCCGCGCTCTTCAGCAGCGAGCACACGGCGCGTCAGTTCGCTGACTTGCGAACAGAGCCCAAGCCTGTCTGTCAATTCACCCCGAGCGACACAATAATACTGCTATAGTTCAGGATAAGCACGAAGTACAGATTTAGCTTTACCGAGGAGGTGACGAAGGAGAGCAGGACGCGAATCAGGACAGGCTTGGGGTGGAAGAGAGCGGGCAACTCGCAGTAGCTTCAACGCACACGCCAAGCGCTCTTCATCGGTGGAAGCACCATCGGAGAGCACGTCTAATCTAACTTGAACTGCAGCGTGTCTCATGACTTGCTTTATTTCCTGAAGACGTTCGTTAGGGTCAGCAGAGAGATCAGAAGGATGAAGAAGAGCAGGGATATGTGCGTAAAACCGTGGGTGCCTTGCATTCCAAGGTGGGATATTGCGCGAGCGTGATCTATGATCAGGACGACGAAGCTTAAGATACAGAGGGGCATGATCAGAGGGCTTCTTGAGGTCTGTAGGAGGCTATCACGTGGAACTTTCAGGAGCCAAGTCAAGTACATCTGCGGTAGGTAAACTAGTGTATATCCTGTCTAAGCGTGCCAGCGAGATTACTTCATCTGTCTTCACGCGGTGGGCGAAGGTGGCCGGGACGACCTCGAGCAAGGAAGGGAAGCACTTTCGAAACTCAAGCGCAAGGCGAGGCGGCGCATACCGCTCCATATTCTCCAGAATCGAGTGCCTGGTGTCGCCTGCTTCGACAAAATTGAAATCGCCGCGAAGAAAGATAGCCGTGGTCAATGATGACCACATCGCGGGCTTCACTCTCCTAAACTGGTCCAGAAGAACACCATGAGGAAGCTTGCGGCCCATACAATCCCAAGTACGTGATTCTCCCCTTCACGACCTCAGAGAAGGCCACATTCTCGAACTGCTCTCGAAGGCTCTTGCGCACGCTGGTGACAACGCCTCCAGCGCCAGGCTGGCCAGCACAGAAGCTGCCAAAGTGGAAGTGTTCCTGAAAATCCCGCTCGAGCGACGTGACATCACTGGGCGTGCCGTGCGTCTCCTGCATGCATGCAATGTCGTGCGCACTCATAAGGTCACCCACACACTTATATGCACGTACTTGCATATCATGACTTCCCCACACGGGTCCAAATACAGCGCGCGCGTTCCACGTCGCAACCGAGAAATTCTGATTCGGAACATACGGAGAACAATCACGCTCGCCCACAGAAGAAGAGCTGGAGGAGGAGGAAGAGGAAGAGCTGTACAAAGGCACTGCACGCTGAGACATACTAATTGACTGTGAGGGAGCGCGTCAGAGCTCCATATCTGGAGCACTGTCAGAAACAGCAGGGGCCTGGGACTCAATCAGGGTCATGATGGTCTCCCTGGTGATGCCCCACTCCTCAAGCTCCTCGAAGTTGGGTTCGGATGTGAACTGCTCCTCACCATTGCGAATGCTGACCTGCTTGATCTCTATCAGGTTCCACACACCCATGTCATTCTTCACCCTCATCACTCCGCGGAAGCCGTCGATGCCGAGCTGACAATCTGGCGACCACATGTACGACTGCTGCAAGATGTCTCGAACTGGGAGCCAAAGCTTGTGAAATGCACGCTTATTGTTACGAACAGGCTGGGGGGGGGGTCAGCGCGCACCCGGAGCTGGTGTGGAAGCTGAGACCTCGGATCAGTCCACACAACACCAGCACGATTGGCTTCCCTCTGGAACTGGCTGGCGTCATCCTTGTTCTGGAAAACGATAAAGTAGCTCTGGGCTATGGCGAAGAACTTGGTCTCCACATTGGCCAGGAGGTCGGGGTACTGCGCCTTGAGACTGTCAAAGTGATTCCTGCGCACACGCTCGAGGACTGGGCGAGGAAAGTGACCAATGAATTTAGTCGTTGGATCGCCACCAGTGTCATCTTCTCCTCGTCGACGTTTGTTGCCCTCGTCGTTGACTAGCCGCGACGCCCATGACTGCTGCCCTCCCGAGGACGTGGAAGCAGCCGAAGACACAGGACGTGCACGCAGTTGTCGTAGCTTTTCTTCTTGTCGGGTCTGCTTCTTCATGACCTCCGTCATCTGGTTGTTGATGGCGGTGATGTGGGCCTCTGCGTTCCCCATGTGCTGGGTGAGGGTGGTCACGTTCGTCTCAACAGACAAGAACCGAGCCTCGAGCTGAGTCTGCAAACCCTTCACCGTGTTCTGAATCACAGCAGTCAGCTGGGCGACGACTGCAGAATCCTCCATGGCGGCAGTGCCAGGAGGGAGAACCCCTGCACGAAAGAGAAGGTGTCC